TTTTCTCGATATATAATAATTAAATCTATATAAGCAGTTTCTTTATAAATTATCCCTTCTTCTTTTAAAACGACACCTTCCTCATACTAATAATAATACGAAATATATAGTTACCCGAAAGCTAGGCGAAGCCTTTCCTCGAGGCAATTAAACACAATATAGCGTTTCTTTAAATTAATCCTTTTCTTCCTTTTAAGTAATTATATATTCATATATAATAAAAATACAAGACACGTCTGGAATTGTTCCCGCAAAAAATCCAAAATCTTTGCAATCGCTGGTGCGATAGTGTCAATTACATCCTCGATGAGATTGGATCCTCGAAACATTGTTTTGTAGATACATGGTGAACGTTTTGTCAGCGCTCTGACAGATGAGCCTACGCTCGTTCGTTCGTTCGTTCGTTCGTTCGTTCGCTCGCTCGTTCGTGAAAATTATTTTTGGGGATACTAGCAATGATATACCAACGGCGGGTTTCGGAGGGCTCTTTCGTCCTTGGATCCATGCGTCGCTGCACGGCTCGTTGTCTAAGGCTCCCGCGAAGCAAAGCAGCTGTCATGGTCATTCTCGTCGTTTTTCTTTTGCCGCCGCCACGTCACGGATACATAGGATGCAGTTGGAGAAGCCGAGACCGTCCCGAGGGAACGTTCGAAAAATCGTCGGGCTTGATCGAGTTGGTAGAACGGACGCGCTCTTAGGAAATTAAGAACAAAAGTCTCTCTCTGTCTCTCGACATTTCATTTGTTAAAGCTTGATCTCTCGAATCAGTAAATTATAATTCGGACAAATACGAATTATTCAACGACTGCAAGACGTATTTTTAACGGTCAACTCTGGCCTTAGGTCAGACGACATTCGTCCCGTCAACGGGGGACGGACGCATCAGATTTGTTTTTGCAGCTCCGTGAGGAGCATCATCGGACGGGGGTGTCCGAAAAGACCCTGCCGGAGGGGCGAAGGGACGCCGAACGTCTCGGATGTGTCTTGGCTAATTGAATTCAAAGAGATTTATGGTCGGCAACGGCACGTTGCGCGACGAATAAAAAGTAAGGCACAGAGGAGAGAGTAGCGCGGTTAGACCCGCTGTCGAGATTCTCTCAAGACTGTCGCCGGCCGAAACGTAGATAAATGTTTTTACCGGGCCAATTAACGTTAGCGGAATAGCGAGGAGACCCGGCCGGTGCTAATCGCGCCAACTCCGGACTAGCGTCCGCTAGATCTCAGTTAATCGTGAAACGCGCGTGGAGAAAAGGGATACGCGGAAGGTACGCGAATGAGATAACAATATTAATGAGAATTTGGCGAGCTCGTGATATTTCTTCGCCCGTAATATATTTCGCCTCCTTATAATCCGTCCTGTGTTACCTTACATTAAATCCGCTTCGCGACTCCAAAAATATCGCCATTGATAGAAAAGTGACAAATAAAAAATTAGCATTACGGTTGCAATGGTGGAATTTAAAAGGAAAATTATGATATAGTTTTAAAGAAGACATATAATTAAATGCATGTAATTGAAAGTCAAAAAATTAGTATTAGTTGTCCGAATTTGGAAAACTCATGACATAATTTTTTTTAAGAGTGCATATAATTGAATACATATAATTAAAAGTATAACACAGAAAGAAAGTGAAGATATATACATTCACCGTCCCAGTTAAAATGTTATACCAATTCCGAATTTTTTAAATGTACTGAAAAGTTACCAATTTTGATATATGTCACCTATCAACGCAAATATACTATCGGATTCGAAAACGTTAATTAAAAGAATGCATTTTTTTTTAACGCGACGCAAGTCTCGTTTAGACGAGATCCGTTCGACCGAATCGCGCGTCTCTTTCTCTGCCTCTCAGTCGCAAGATTTTTTTTCGCCAAGATTCACTGTCGCGATAAGGCTCGAAGGAGCGCGGGGAAAAGAAAGAGGACGGCTCTTCGATGCGGCGCGTCTTCGTTAAGCGGTTTAAAACGCGGCCGAAAGTTTGCTTTGACCGGTTTAAAATAACTAACGCCATTCAGAATATTCACGGTGCGGCCGCGCGAGTACCGGAGCCACGCCGCGGTTGTTTTATACGCGTTACGCGACGAGGGAGCCCCGACTGTCATCTCGGGAGAAAAAAATAATATTGTGCCCGACCGATGGGCGCCGAAACGCTCGTTAATTCTTTCCCATGTCTTTAAGGAACGGCAATTATCAAACATGGATTATCGATCGGCATCTCATAGACGAGCGCAAACATGTACTGACAAAAAAATTGTTCGTTTAACTAAATTTTTCGTTTGTCTTTATTTCTTTTAATGAACAATGTATGCATTTGAGTCAAACACATTATATTTAACTTAAATACATACATCTACCAATGGAAGAAATAAAGACAAACTAAATTAATTTAATCAAATATGTATACATTTTTTCTCAGTGTGCCGCAATTATTCGTTAAATGTCTATCTTTTCGATGAAAATTTATTTAAGGAGATATACGTTCAAAATCTTTTCATCGTAAGATAAAAACGTCGATAAAGTCTAAAGATGTTCGGAAAATTATGCGTTGGAAGTAGTAGCATTTCGCCCCGGATTATTGGATTATCATTTAAAATGTTTTACGTCCGAATAAAACGAGAAGTACTTGCGTACAGTCACGGGATTCACTCGAGCCGGTTTATCGGTGAAAATTCGCGGCGAGAGCGCTCGCGAGGGCGAGCTTATGAGACTCGATAAATCGCCGCGTAGAGATTGTTTGGACAGACCGGGTAAACGCTCGTAAATCCGCCGTTAACGGTCTGCAACGCGCTCTCGAGAGGTAGTCAAGACGGAAAATGGACGCGGGGGAATCCCGACGATGATCGACCGGTTCGTCGTCGCGAACAAAATAGTTCCGAGAGTAAAATCGACGGCTCTTCGCTCAGCGGATTCGAAGTTTGATCCAAGTTGCTTGGGTGAAGCCTATACAATTTCGTAAGCGAAGTTGTAATATCACAGCCGAAAACGAGAAGAATATTCGACTGTAATTAGTCAATTCTTACAACTGCAACCACTTATAACTACACTATATTACAGAATAGGCTTAAAGTTGTGATGAAACTAGAGATTGAAATGAGACTGGAATTTAACCAATCAAAGCCAAATTTAGTAAACTTGAGACCAGTTCTCTTTCTTCTGATTGGTTAAACTCTGATCACTGCAAATCCAAGTGTGTCAAAAATGACTACGACATATGCGTATGATTAATTTTCCGTATAAAAATGACAATATATTATACACATTTAAATGTATAGATTTATTTTTTATACAAAAAGTATAGCGTATTATTTTTATACGAAAAACCAATCACATATATATTAATAATTACTTTTTATACACATAGATTTGCAATGATCTAATCTCAATCTCTAATCTGATCAATTTGACGGCGGTTGGAGATTATCGAATATTCCAACGAGGAGAACGAAATGGAAGGTGGGGAGGGGAGATTACAAGATGTAATTCCGCTGATTGATGTAGATGCATAACGCACGGCGCGGGCTAATAAGCGCGCGCTTTTGCGGCCGCCGTCGTCGGCCGTATCGGCGTCCGAGTTGTCGCACTGTTAATAGTCCGACGAGAAGACGTGAATTATTGGCCTACGCTACCGTGAGCGAGCAAGCGAGCGAGCGAGCGAGCGAGCGATTCCGCGTCGCCGGGAATCAGCCGGGACAGAATTAACTGTCGTGAATTGGGTTTCAAAGGCTGCGCCGGAAAGAGATGCACCGCGCGTGTTATTACCTCGCGCAGGTCGCAAGACCAGTCCGCGGGACAATAATCCACCGCGTGCGAGATCATCCTGTCGAGAGCTGGCTCTCCTGATATCTTCAAATCGCACCATTGACGCGGATCAATGATCCTTTCTTTAAATTAAGCTGTACGGCCAAATGGATTAACGAGCAAGCGTTCAAGTTTCATCTTTTGTTTTCAAGTTGCTTTCAATTCACAGAATGCCTCGAATCTACCGTGTTTCGTAAAGTTTTATTCTGAAAATAACGGATCTCGTAAAAAAAAAACTAAGTGAAAGTTGGAGAGTGTAATACTGCAAGGACACTTTAAGGGGATCCTAAAGACATTGGAAATAGCACTTACACACAGACGATTTCTCTCCAGGAGAAGGGAAAAGGGAAAGAGATGAACTGATGCAAAAGTTCAGCAATAAAGAACAGACCTACATCAATACCTTACTCACGCACGCCACACGTAGACGTAGATTTTTGTATCGTAATTATGTTTTAATTAGACATCTAAATCTAATTTTAAGAACTCCACGCTGTTTCTTCATGTAAACTACGTGCCTGTGGACTACTATTTCTTAAGTACAGATTGTGCAGCTTTTATACAAAACAAATGTTGTTACGACGTGCAACGACGTGATAGCTCATCTGGAGCGCTATTATTGGACTAAAAAATGACAAAGAAGAACTCAATTTTGAAATTTTTTATCGTTTTCAGCATAGATTCTACCTCACAGGCACATATTAACGAATATACTTTAATTCTGTAAAAGGATTTTCGAATCTGTGAATGACAAAAAAAGTATTTACGATACAAAAATTATACGATTTAGTCAGTAATACAGACTGCTTTAGGGTCCCCTTACGCGATATTTGATAGACCGAGGATACGGTCAACGCGATGCTACAAATGCTTTGAAGCGTTTCTTGATTAGTCAATTTGTAAAATTTTTTCTTTTGATTGGTCAATCAAACGCTTCAAAGCATTCGTAGTGGCAACTCGACCGCACCACGAGTCGAACACTGGATTTTGATCAGTGCGTCCAATAAAATTCGCCATTACTTTTACAGAAGAATCATCTTTTTGTTGTATTACAATTTCTAGAACATCCAGTAACTGTGTGTGCGCGTGTGTTCGCAGGCATATAGGTATATGATACAGTACACATATTTTTTTTCAAGAGGAACCAAATATTCTCAAATTAGATTCAAGAATGTTCCAGATTTCTCATCACCATCTTACCTCGCTAAATTTTTAATTGTAATTATCTTAGCCTTATAGTCTATAGCCTACGTAGTAGAGTTCCAATCGCCTTCCATTCTCCAGACGCTAAACGCATACGACAGCCTCTCGTGTGCCATGTAATTACTCGGCGACGTCGCGATTTCCTTCGCAGCCAAAATCGCACTCCGGGCGCTCTTCTCTACTGGAACAGATATTTTTCGTCTCTCGTTATTCAATGTACAAGCAATCGTATAGAATCATTTTTTAAGAGAATTAAAAGAATATCATCGTCGTTTAATATATCTAATTGCAATCGAGTTTTTTTTCACTAGAAAGTCGGAGAAAGTGAAATAAAAATTGCATAAAAATTGAATGTATACTTTTTGTTAAAAAAATCAAGGAAGACTTATGAAATATTATTTGTTTTGTGATAAGGGAATCCTTTCTGTTTATCCAGCAGTTTCGACTTCCATACTATAAATAACAAAATTTATCTTTCTTATATGTCTTCAATATTTATATTGTTTCTGAGAAGATCCACATCATTCTTTCGGCACAGTTTTATTTCGACAAAGAGATATAAGAGCGAGGACTGAGAAGAAGAGCAGGCGAAAGAAATCGAAGGGAAAGGAAGAGGCCGAAGGGGATCGTTACACGATAATTCCGTCCGCATATAATGCGAGCGCTACAAAATAAAAGGGAAGCGGCGGTATCGCGCTAGAAGAAAACTTCGAGGAGAGAGAAGAAGCCGAATAAAAGAAAGTGCGGAGTATATATATATTTCCGTTTCGCAAAATTCATGTCGCGGGAACGACGAGCCAATCGGCGCGCCGGCACCAAGCCGTTAAGTCTGGGTATCGTTAGTCACGCCGAGTTACAAGTGCGTGCCCGCTATTCGGCGTGCACCGGGTGGTTTACGTCGTTCGACTGTGAGATAAGGACGAACCGGGGAAGATTTGTGTACTATACGATGTCCAACCGTCATTCAGCCGTTCATTCGAGATGCCGTCGTTCGCGATTTCTACTTCGCTCATCGATGTATCTATAAGTTATACAGTCTTGGCTACTTGAGTATAAAACATCTTCGATTTTTTTTCGTTAGTATTCCCTTAAAAGAATACTAACGGTAATAAAAAAAGCTAAAAGTTGTAATTTTAAAATTATTATGTGGCAGCCCGCCACAATAATATATTCAATTCTGTAAATCGCGCGCCGAAATTTTTACAGCTTTGGTCATAAGTATAAAGCATCCCCAAAAATTGATGTAAACGCTTTGTATCTAATGAAACAAAAATTCATAAATAATTATAATTCATATTAAACCGACGATTAATATTACTACTCCTGTTCTATTTATGTTGATTGTGTTTCAAAACCGAAAACTATTTCGAAAATTTTTGGAGATGCTTTATACTTATGGCCAAAGCTGTAACCTTGGCTGTAACTCTCTTATACAGATATCCCTTTACTCAAACAACTATTTCAATTTATGGATTATAGAACTTACAACCAGTATACGCTAAAAAAAATAGAAAAAAATAAAGAGTGAGTTAAACTAAGACCAAAATTAATTTACATTAGTGGAAACCAGGCATTAACTTACTGTTTCACATTTTACTTTGTAATTATTTATACTCAGAATGGCTAGTAATGTAAATTATTATTATTAAAAAAGGAAGAGAAATAAAAGATTTACGCCTGTTTCTACCACTGTAGATTAACTTTGTTTATTTTGGTTTAACTTATTTTTTATCTTTTTCTAATTTTGAGAATTATAAAAGGATAAAGTATAAATTAAACCCCGAGATTAATATCGTTAGAAATGGATATTAGTATTAATAATGTTACGAAGTCTTATTATAATTTTGTCGTAGAGAGAAAGATACTTATAATACCTATATAAAAAATTAACAGATATTTTAATAAATTATTATAATTTTTTGCAATTTTGTCTTTTTATTGCTGAAACATAGATTATCACGTGTTTATGCTTCCGAGTTGTTAACGTCATCATAGAACGTTGTCCCGAGCGGTGATTCGAGTATCCACAATTCTGAGTGACGGTATAGGAGAGCCGTTAAATGTCGCGTTGTTTGTTATTCCGAACGTTAAAAATCAGGCGGCCCGTACGAGGAATTTAATCCTCGCTGGTCCATAAATATTATGAGAACAGTGAATCGCGCGGACACATAATACGGGAGAGCAAGCTTCTTCAGTGAGAGGCACTTTAGTAACGACGACGGCATGAGTGCTCGTCGCGGACTCGTCGTTCCGACCTCGTGTAAATTATGAGAAAGAATCCTCCGAGACGGCAGTCTGTTTAATGAACTGGAAGCCATCCTACCCGCTATAAACACGTACCTACCACCCTACGGAGAAGGTGCCGACGGAGACAATCCTCGAGCGTCTTTCTAAACAACGTGCACTCGGTAGCGTAACTTCGTAGCATCCTGGTGCGAGATAGCGACTTGAATTGTGCGAGATATCTATACGGAAAAAAACAGTTTTGCCGAAGTATCTACAAAATAGAAAAATACATACTGTACGCAAGTAACAACTGTATTTAGAATATTTCAAAAGTTTGTATATCTCCATTTTATCATAAATTCGTAATATATTCTAAATCTTAGTGAGTTCAATATTTCGCGATAATTGAATTAAAACAAATTCGATTTGTTTATTATATAAAGTCAGTTCTCTTTGAATCATTTTATAATATTCTTCGAAAAAAAAAATAAATTTTTTAACTAAATATTGATGAGAATAAGCCATTTTATGGTCAAGCTGAATCTTGGATGCTCCTAATATAACCATTCTTTTCATGTTGCTATGAAAGCATAAAACATAATCCACTGTCTCATTACGGCACCAAATGATCTTCCATTTTTAATCTTCCATTCCTATACATCCTTCTTCTCTTACGATCATTTTTTAAACAGTACGCACAACATTTTCGTTTTATGGTGAAGTGAAGGATGAATAAAGATTGATGGAAATAAATTGTATGAATGCAAAAGTCGTATCCTTTTTACAATCAGCAACGAGCAACCCGCTCGTCTTTGTATGTATAAATTACACATATGTGTATGTGTAGATATAATACAAAGATCATGATTTTGATTTTGTGTATTGGAGATACACGTGTATACATGCATTTATTAAGAGATCACTATTTTGAAGGTGCAAACATCACGTCTTTTCAAAATTGTTATTCAGATTTCAGTATGTAAAAAATAAATAAAATACAATCCAATTTTTATTACAGTCAAAACTTACTGTTAAAGGTTTTACGAAAATTAAAAAAAATTTTTTTATATAAACCGGAACCATACAAAATATATCCTGTTTCTCTCAACGATCCAGAGCATAAACTATATGATCGAAAATTTCGGGGTGACACTGGGAGGGGATATGTATCCACACAACAAAGTCCTCTAAAAAAACAGCTCAGGAATGTCCTCAGCATGTTTCTCGGAAAACTATGTTGTGTGGGTTAACTAGAAATAATTAATCAACTCGTCGTCGATAGCACTACTCGATCGATGTCGATTCGATCAATCATTTTTGAAAGGGAGGAAAAGAGAGAGCACACCAAACCGACGTTTTGCTTCACAGACAGCGACATTTGTACTTGCAAACACGACCATCGGACGAAATCAAAACATAAAACGCGTTCTCGCGTCACCCACGTGTCACCCTGGACGCTACACACTCATCGAAATTATACCAGGTACTACCTGCGTTCTCGCCGCACTCGGCGTTTTCGGTGTTAGTTTTGAGCACGTGGAACAGGAAGTCGATGTATCTAGCGGCGAGCTTGAGCGTTTGGATCTTGCTGAGCTTGTCACTCGGTAGAGTCGGGATAATTTTCCTGAGCGCGGAGAACGCTTCGTTCAAGCTCTGCGTTCGCTGACGTTCACGGACGTTCGCCATCGTCCTTTGATTCTGAATCTCTTGGTCGTTCTTGCGGCGTATCTTCGTCCGTGTCGTCGAGGCCGCCGTGGCCTCGCAGTCGGACTCGTTGCTGTTGCAGCAACCGCTGTTGTTGCTGTTGCTGTTGTTGTTACCACTGTGCCGCCTCTTCCTCCTGACAGTCATCCTGCTGCCGCCCCCCTCTCTGTCTCCGTAGCCTTTCGTCGTCGTCGACGACGACGGTTCGGTCACGTGGCCGAGCTCCGCGGCCTGTTCACAGCCGTATCTCGCGACGTGATCGACCATCCCTTCCTCGATCACGTCCGATTTGTACTCTGTAACGTCCACATGATGATACGAGCCCCCCGTTTGGCCGTGTACCGACTGAACGGAGCTTGGGGCACCCATCTCGTCGGCGCCACTGGGTGAATAGACGCTCTGCGACGAAGGTGTCAGGCAGAGACTCTGCTGTTCCTGGTCCCTACTGTAATCCGACAGGAACTCGGACGAGTTGTCCGCCGAGTGGAGTTGCCGGTCATACTCCAGCTGAAATTCCCGTATGATCTTAGTATCCGGATGATGATCCTGGGGATGATGTAAATGGGGGTGATGGTGATACCGCGTTCCCTCCGGATTCTTGAACATCATGTGGGTGAGCTCGGTGTACTCTACCGCGGCCTGGTTTTGCGGATGATGATAGCCCGCGGACGATGACAAGGTTAGAGCATGTTGATGTTGCTGTTGCTGGTGATCCGGCGGACCGCTCAGGTCCGTCAGATGCGAGACGGGCGGCGTGAAACGACCGTAACGCGTCACCGAGGAATTGCCGTTAGGATTACCGTCGCCGACGTGCGCCACTGTACCGATGATACCACCGGTGCCGTCGTTGCCACCCTGGATGCCATTGCCGTGTAAAACATAGTAACCCGGCTGCGCTGTCACGCACTGGGACGCCGGCGTCGGCACCGGCGGCGGTTGCGGTACCGTCGCCGCACCGCGCATACCTCCGTTCGTCCACTCAGCGCATTGGACGCCGTTGAAGATCCGCGCGCGAACTGAAGGCACGAGATACTTGTAATTCTCAGCCTGCTCCCAGGCAGGTACGGAGTACGGAGCAACGCGACTGTAAACACCCATCCACTTCGATACGCGCCAATACGCACGAGCCACGTATATCAGCACACGACCCGCACGTGTTAATTAACCGCGAATGATCGCGCGCGATCGATCGTTTCGATTTGTCGAGTCAAGCGAAATCAGCCAGTCCGCGAGAGTTCGGAGTGTTCACGTGAACAAAATCTCCGAGCGCGCGAGAATCGGCCAAATTCGACGAAGAGGAGAATCTCCCTGAAGTCGTACGTTCCTCGTACGCGTATGTCGCCGGTCAACGTCGACACGGCGCAGCATCTTTCTCCCCTCTTCCTTTCTCTCTCTCTCTCTCTCTCTCTCTCTCTCTCATCTTCTGTGAATGTTACCAACCGTCTGAAGAAGCAGAGAGCGCGCGATCCCTCATCGTGTCACGCTGCGGAGGCACGCCTTCAGCGGCGTGTATGACTGGTCCCCGACTATCACTTTGTCTCCACCCACGGAGAAGAGGAGGACGGAGCCGAGAAAATAGATAGGTCAGATTGTGGAGGAAGGGATACGAGAGAATGAAACGGAAGACTTCCATGCGCATTGTGAGATCCGCATAAGAAAGAACGAGGCTGATGACTGAATAGCAATTTTGGGGAAACGTATAGTTTTCTGGGAATGCAAATGAGATGCGTAGAAAAAATTATGTAAGAAACGCAAAATGATCATTTTTTTATTCTCTACAATTGCAGCGTTTATATTGTATACATTTATTTACACAAATGATATATTGATAAATATTAATGATTAAAGACATACAAGAGGAAATGTTTTAATGACAAACGATTCATTATGACGTTATCATAATTAATTGTTTTGGAATATATCTTATAAAACCGAAAAAACTATTATAAGATATTCGCGAAGGATTTTTAATGAAAGATAATTGAAAAGCGAATAATAAAAAGAGAAGAAACATAATAATAAATAAATTATATAAAAATATATAATACGTACATTTCATCGGCCAAAAATAATCGTGAGACGCAATGTTACGTGTCGGAGGCGTGAAGTATCGACATTTTTCAAGCTCTTGCAACTCGGAAGCCGCGGAGCGACGATGAAAAATCAGCGATCAGAGTTACGACGCGGCCAAAAATAGGTAGAACCCTCGCAGCCTAAAAAGTACATTCCTAACTAAGGAAGCAGAGAGCGAAGCGGGCAAAAGAAGTCGAGAGTAAAATGGCTTTTTTAAAAATATTTCCTCCGACGCAGCCGAAGATGCGAATCGCGAGAATTCACTCCGGAAAAATCTTTCCCCGCTTCTGCAGGAATTTTCTTGCTCTCCATTTTTCGTATCGGTTGCGAGATTAAGGCCACTGTATTCACATTAGTCAACTTGAGAACTCATTATAGGTTCAAAAATCAAATCTTTCCTTTAAAAAACTCTTCTCAAAGATCATTCTAATATCAATTATATAAATCCACAACAAACATGAGAAACGAAGGCTTTAAACGATTAAGCTGTATTTTCAATGCATAAATAATTCGGCATGAATCTGTATACTTATATCTTCTGTCCTGCAAACTGCACCGAATTAATTATAATTTTCCGTCTTAAAAAACGCAATTTCTAACAAAACTAGACTATAGTATAATATCACACAAATTAAATTGGTAATCAATTTAATAATATGACGCTCATACAGGCGTCTTAGAGAGATCTTATTAATAATCTGATTTTGATAAGCATTTTAAAACCTGTAAATAATTATTTCTTATATATTACGAAAATATTACCTCAGTATATAATTAAATAAATCCAATTAGTTCAAACTCTCTCTCTCTCTCTCTCTCTCTCTCTCTCTCTCTCTCTCTCTCTCTCTCTCTCCTGTTCAAACTTAATTGATTCGTCTGAAATAAGGATCGATCGTGGATCGATCTACGACTATGAGTGCGGATCTAAATGCACAGTGAACTAGTTAGACAGACGTTTTCTTCGTGGGCTGAATTAATATCGACGGTTTCGCGATGTGAATTAATGCGGCTCACTCATTCGGAGACGCGCGTGATAGATGGCCGCGTTGGATGCGCCGCGACGTGTTTGTTGTGACGGACGAAAGCTCTTTAGAGGGTGTCTATAAATTCCGACGTTTCTCTAACTTTCTCGTGAGTTTCCCTTCCCTGCCGTCTCGTTTCCTCTCGTCCGTGATTTAGCATTTTGTTCGACGTCGCGCCACGCCTACGGAATATTTAGTCGCGAGGGGGACTTCGAGGGAGAAACCGGGTCACGTCTTTGTTCGCCAGTCTTTGGTCTTGATCGATTCCGTCGATTGAAATCCATTTTAAGCGATCCGCACACAAAGTTCAAAATATCTTAATTATGATAATCCCTTTACACACTCGACTTTCTGTTTTCATTGTTTCTTTAAACAATTTGAAGTTATATAATGTGTTATTTTTATAAAAGTTTATAAGCAAATTAGCTTAAGTATGTATCTAATCCAATTTGCTCATATAATAAGCTTTTAATGGACAGTAACATATTATAAAAGAAATTCCTTTTAATCGAAACGCTAGATGTTAAAGAACGTAATGGCAAAAAGTAAATTGTTTCTGCAGTGAGGCGTTTAATTAAAAAATTTCTTTTTTTTTTCACGTGTAGGAATTATGTATTCATAATTAGATATAAGAAATTATGAATTGAATTTTGTCCTGAATTTTATTTCGAACAGTAAGAAAAAAAATCACGTAAGAAAAGATTTGTAATTTCAATATTTGCACTTCTCAAATTAAAAAAAAATTAATTCTCGTTTCTCTCTTATTTATTTTATCTGATTATTTGCAACGCGCTTAGATGATAGCGAAAATAAAGTTTTGATAGTCAGTAGATTTTGGCGAGCCGGCGGATTTGTTTCCCCAAACTAATGGCGAGCTTTGAACGACTCAATCGTCGGTATCGTGACGATATTAGTGGATGGATATTCGTCGCTCGTCGAATCGCGCTTCTCGGAATCGTAACACAACCGACGGAAAGCCGCGGTAAGACGCCGTTTTGGCGACGGTCCAACCACGAATCGCCAATGGACAGGTCGATAAATAACACGGTCAAATACCAAAATAATACCCGGCGATCAAAAGCAAAAATCCCGGAGGCTTTCCGAGGCGGGCGAGTAGTATATACTTTCCGTAATATTACCCACATTATGTCTATTACGCGTATTAGATAATGAATATAATAACGTAGCATGACAATGTGAAGTTTATTAATTAAGAGTTGCTGTTTCCAGAACTGTAAACAGCAATTTTTAATTAATAAATTTAACGTTGTCATGCAATATACCTTTTAATATCTTTAAGACAACTCAAATATGTTCTTAAGATATCAAACATCTTCTCCGAATATCTGAAACATATTGTTTAGATATCTTCATATTCGGCGGCGGGGATATAGGATATTTTCAAGCTATCTTTGAGATATCTCCAGATCTTTTTAAAGTATCGCATCTCAGATATCTTTCAGAAATATAACAATATTTTTTGTTTATGTGGAATAGATATGTTTCTCTCCTTATCTGCTCTTCCGCTGTCCAAAGAAGTATATATCAAAATAGATCTAAAATGGTCAGTTAAATAATATTTTCATAAAATTTTCGTAAAACGTTTTACTGAATCTCTCGTAGAATCATACTGAAAGGATGATACATAAATATGACCAGGAGAGTCAGTATGTAACTTGATATACAGAACTATGCTTTTGTTTCGTGCTTCTCATTATTTTCAGCTCTAAAAAGGTCTACCGTACTTAAAGCTATAACATGGATTTTCTTAAGTGTACCTTATTCAGAATGATATCTTCAACCAGCCGTCCTTCTTATAGTCCTTTTTATAACGTATGAGGTACCCGACAGCAAATCCTAGTCGGATGGTTTCGCTCCTTTCCAACGATTCCACTTATCGAGCCTTTAGCTTGTGAATTTCGCAGGGTATTCTCTCTCAGTCATTCAAAACGTTTGCAGACTCTCGAGTTTTTTGATTAGCTTTATTTCAAATTTCGAGTAGGATGATCTGTATAGATCTCACATGTGTCATTATATTGTTCTAGTATATAATCTCTACACATAAAATCCTTTCGAGTATAATTCTATTAGTAGAACATTTGATAAAAGTTCCATGAAAATTTATTTATAGAGTCTACGAGCTCTTGTATTGTATATAATTTTTGAATCGTATTCATTAGAGTCATAGAATATTTTAGTATTGTTTTAAAATTTATTCAGTCGATATCATTTTGGACTAATTTTAAAATCTTATCTTTTACATTTTTCTAATTACTTAGGCTGCATTTCACATAGGTACTCGTAACGCTCGCAAGTATCGTTTGTCTTTGTTTAACATTTGAATAATAAGAATGAAATGACGTCTTATATTAGTTAGCGGAACAAAGTGAACAGAATCGATTTTAACTAACATTTTTATTTGTTGCTATAATAGGTTACCAAAAAAAAATGTATTGATCTATTAGGTTTTTTTTTAGAACAATATTCCGCTAAAAGAAGATAAAGTTAGCGGAACAACATGCACATATTAAAGCCGATCGTCGTAGAATAAATAGCGTAGGAATTTGTTACTCATTTGTTACTGTCGATTCTTTTGACGTGTTCTCGCGACCTGTTCTGCTTGAATGTGCAGGGAAATCCCCTGACCTTCGCCGATCTTTTTCGCGGTCGCGTTTCGCGCACACGTGTGCGCGATACTGCGGAGCACGCACCGTTTGACGATATTAACGCGGTCTTAATTGCGCGTGCCGGCGCGCAATTTTAACTTCGCGGCATGCCTGTGTCCCCGGATTCGTGCACCGTTGCAGGCTCAAACGTCCCTGTCGGCGTTTCCTTCCATACTGGAACATTTAAAGACAAGAGGTTTGTTTTTTCTTCCTGCGCTAGATTGCACTAGAACTCTCTCCCTACTTCCCTTTCTCTCTCTCTCTTTCTTTCTTGCTTTTGCCAAACAATATGTCAATATAACATATCTCACTTTAAATTCCGTACCGTACACTAATT